CGTTTTGGAGTACGTTGGTTCCGGTTGAAGGGCACTCATTGGCCGCCCATGGGCGGCCCATGGGCTGCCGACGGGCTACCCATGGGCTTGCCCGAGGGCATTCCCCATCGGCTGCCCATGGGTGTCCCATGAGCGGTTTAGCAAAACTTTTGAAAGCGTGGGAGACCCTGGTTACATGACGGTCCAGATTAGGTCGTCTGTGTTTCGCTTGGTGGTGTATTTTTATGTCTCTCTGCGCTCGTCTCCTAGCCCCTCCTTCCTGTGAGGTCTTGGCCTGCTTGAATTGAGTTCTCGGCCTGCTCGTTCGTGCGAGATCGTCTGATTTTTTTACCCCTTGGCGGCTTTGTTACTTCGTGTTTGGCATATTTCGGTTCGATGCTTTTTGTTATTTTCGCACCCCCCCCGGTGTGCCTTTTCCCCCATTCTATCCGCCGACTTCGCCGTTTCCGGCTATTACTTTGTGGTCCTCTTCGTCTTTGATTGTACTTTTAGTTGTCGCATCTTCGATCCCATCCCCATATAGAGGGCGTGAGCTCGTTCGCCTCCATCACACGACCATCCGGCCCACGGAGCGAGGGAGGGTTGGTTGAAAATGTCCACGAGTTTGAGTGGCATTCAACTGTCACGTCCAGAGGGTAGCAAATTCCCTCGAGTTCAACGCCATCCAACTTCAGAAACATCGTGTGTGTCCCACGACCGCCGCATCTGGAACAACGCAGGCCCGCAAGCCGCCAAAGAAGCGCGATCTCCATAAGAGCGCGATCTCCATAAGAGCGCCAAAACATGTCGGGGAGGCGAAGAAATTTTGGGTGGTCACGAGGGCGGGCCCCATCATCACGAAAAAAACACTCACCCCAGCGACGAGCAGGAGGCGACAGGCGAGCACTTTCCAGGTGTCGAGGCAATCGGCGGCGATCGATCATGCAAGTTCCCACAGAATCAGTCCCAGAGAATGCACGAGAAGAACCTGAGTCCAGCACGGCCACACGCGCAAGTATGCTGCGAAGTGGCAGTCGCCCCCCCCCCCCCTGCCCCCCATATGCCAAAACCCGGGAGATGTACGAATCGGAGTCCCATGCTAAAAGGGTACCACCGACAAGATCGGGCCCATGCTCAAAAGGGGAGGTTGATCGGCACGAACAAGCGTGGGTGCGACGAGGCGTACGCCGAGAGAATGATCGCCAGGGGGGTAAAAAATATGCATGCCGGCAGACCCAACAACCTCGTCATGACCCGGTGGTGGCCTCCCAGCTGCTGAAACGACGTCGCCAACGCGCTGCCGTTTTGGCGAAAAGGGGCTCTGGGGAAAAGGGTGCTCCTCGCCGATACTGTAGCATGACTCGGCGGAGTCTTAGTAACCAGCTAGCGGGAGATATTAAAGAAGACGCCGAACTTCCATCAACGCTAATAATCCAAGCACGGTTTTACCGTTTGCCGACCTTTTGGACGCGTTGGCGGCATCCAGTTGGCGTGCGGATACTTCGTTATTTCTATGCCCGAAAGGGTATGAAAGGGGATTGGCTTCCGCAAGGGTATGAGTACCCTTAGTTAACAGATAAGTTTTGCTTAATGTCGGTAATCTGGGAAAATCTGGCGTACCCACCCAGAAAGCACAAATCTCTTCTCGAACACGCTCCTATCCCAGCATTGATCGAACGGGCGCACTTCCGACCAAGAAACTTGCTTGTGTCTTGGAAAGTTTCAGCACGCGACCAAAATTTTGTCACACGTTGTTGTTGCTGTATTATCCCCGAACAAACAACTTTCTGACCTTCTCCGGACATCTCTACCGTATTGTTATTGTTCACCACATGAGTAACGCACCCCTAGGACGTCGAAAGCCGAGGAGGGGGGAGTCCTGTTGTATTCTGTCTCCATACTACCGAGGATCGTTTATTTTTTTAAGTATTGGATTAGATGAGGCTTCCTGCGCCGGACTGTGGTCCCGCCCCGTCCTTTTGCTGCACCCGTTGGCTTTACACAATTTGACCACACGTCCGGCGCGAGATGATCTCACCCAAACTTCATTGTACACGTCATGGCACCGCTCTCAACGGGTCCGCACATGAGGCGAACTCTTGTTGGAACGCTGCCAGGACGGCGCTAAGTAAGGTCGGCGTAGCGCTTTCCCGCAGGACCGCTCGCCACCTTACCCACACCAAGGAGCGGTGGCCACAAGAGGACCGCCTCCGCGGGAAATTCAGTATTATAAGGAAATAGAACAGGGAGGGGGTTCGCAGACAGACCCCGTTTTCCCTAACCCTAACCCTAACCCAACTTCCCCGATTGTATGCTTTATCCAACATCTTTCCAGAAAACAAAAACCCTGCGAAGGGTACTGCCACAAGAGCACGTCACCACTGACACCGCACGCCACGCCAAACGTCTATTCCATATAAGCTGAAATCAAACCATTAGACCTAGGCTGGTCAGCGCTGACTGGCCTTATGGTTCGATATCAGCTTATTCTATACCTCCGACCTCCAGGATCTAGTCGCACCGCCGCTCCCACCATGGGTTGGCCTAGGGTACCTCCCACGCGAGTATTTTACGACGAAAGGTACAACTACCTATAGTGGTCTCTTTTGATTTACAATGGGGAGAAACAAAAAAACGATGAGCATTCCGCGCTACCATAGGTCTGCACGGATGAATCCTCCTCCTCCTCCTCCTCCTCCTCCTGGTGGGTGTATTACAACCACCCGGCCTGGTGCTACTGCTGCCGCCATGTTGCTACGTTGTAGACGTGTTCCTACTGCGAAGCCATAGCCCCCGCGAAGCCATATCCCTGACCAAGCACATCATCGTCAGAGCTTTCACCGTCACAGCTGTCGCAATCAGAATCACCGTCAGAGCTATCATCGTCTCCAGAGTCATTGTCGCCCTCGCTAACAGTGCTGGTGGCCTCCTCGTAGTAGCTGGAAGTGCTGGTGACCTCATCGTCCTCGCTCACAGTGACAGTCGTAAGCTCATCGTCCTCGTCCACGGTGCTGGTGACGTCATCGTAACCCCTAATATACGTTTTGCTGTCATCATCGTAGTAACTGGAAGTGCTGGTGACTTCATCGTAACCGCCCACGGTGCTGGTGACGTCATCGTAACCGCTACTGTAAATTTTGCTGTCATTATCGTAGTAACTGGAAGTGCTGGTGACGCCATCATCCCCGCTAACAGTCATGGTCGTCGCCTCATTGTCCTCGCTAACAGTGCTGGTGACGTCATCGTAAGCGCTAATATACGTTTTGCTGTCGTCATCGTTGTAGCTGGAAGTGCTGGTGACGTCATCATAACCGCTATAATACGTTTTTCTGTCATCATCGTAGTAGCTGGAGGTGCTGGTGACCTCATCGTCCTCGTAGCATGCGTGGTCCCACGTGTCGATGGTGTCGTCGAGATAGTCGCTTTTGAGCGGTGGTCGTAACGTTGAGTGATTATGACGGTGGTGTTGGCGGCGGTGGGAGATATGTCGCCGTTGCAGGGACCGAGAGGAGACGATCAGACAGAACCGAGGAGTGGGTGGGTGGGCAGGCACCGGCGGGCAAGGTTAGGGTTTGGTACGTCCATCATACGATCGGTCGGTAGGAGGTCAACGTACAGCTCCCAACTTTCGTGCATATGGTACATACCCTCCGTGTGGTTTTGTCAAGAGCAATGGAAACGGCAGCAACGACAAATGTTCAACGACAACTGTCAACAACAACAACAACAACAACCGCGCAAGTAAGTATGGTTGTCAAGGAAGAGAGTGCCTCACCCGATCAACTGGCAGTCGTCACCCGCGCAGGTGTTGCCGCAAATGGTGCCCTGGCCGTCCACCATAATCTTGAGAGCGCCGAACCCGACGTCGTTGAAATCGTTGTCGTACACCTATCGGACCGGGTAGAAGGCGAGGTACGAAAGGATAGAAGACGACTCAATCGCAGGTTTCTTGATGTCGTGTTGGCGATAGATGCATGCTGCCCGGTTTCTGGACGTTATGCAGTCAACATAGCCAATTATTATACCCGACGGTGGTTGACGAGTCAAACTCTTCTGACGCAACAGCGACAACAAGAGCCAGCAACAACAAAATGTCCAACAACAACAACAACAACAACAACAACGACGACGACGACGACGACGACGACGACGACGACGACGACAACGACGGTGATGGCAACGGCGACGACCGGTACTACGAGGACGACACCAAGCGTGGCAC